TTGGGTATATGTAACATTTGCATACTTCCAATATCTAAATTTAATATAGTTGTGATGTGATTTCATTTTGCCATGTGTACTCCCCGCTTGAGGCAAACCGGATGCGGCAACTTCATTTGGAGTAGCAAGTGCTCTCCGAGTTTCCAGGAAGCATTCATAATGCATAAGACAAAAGTTCGGGGCATCCGCAACCATATGACTAACCCGCATCTCCATTCCCATCCTCCACTCGCAGATGCTGAAGCACGTGCAAATCTCGCCGCTGCGGAATCGGTCCGATTCGATGTCACTACGCTCCTCCAGCCACGCCTCCTCGTGCGCCAGCTCCATGTGCGGCAGTCCGGAGCCGCCGGCGGAGCTGCAGAGGACGCCCTCCAGGGCCTCCAGTTACTCCAGCCTCAACGAGCAGCTGCCACAGGTGAGTTGCACGAGAACAAGCTCTTGGTGAACCCCTCACTCATGCGGTACCCTTTCCACCCACAGACCACCATCAAGGTGTACACAAACTGCCTGAAGATCGACATCGAGTACAAGACACTTGGCATCCAGTGGGACACCACCAGCAAGGAGGTGATTGGCCAGCTGCTGAGACGGTAAGCATATTGTTTTAGCGGTATTTAATTCGATTTAACCTTGAACATGATTGCAGGCTCAAGATGCGGCATCGCGATCCACGCCTGTTCTACCTCTCCATGGAGGTAGCTGTGCGTCGGGCTGGCGTGAAGACCATCTTGGTGCTGGACGAGGACACCCGGCCGGCCATCATGCAGGCCTGTCACCCGAAGGGCGAGTCCCGCTTCTGCCTGCAGCTGAAGCCAGGTGGCCTGATCCGCGTCCACACCTCCGCGCTGCAGCCGAGCTCCCAGTACAAGTCGCTGGTCATCAGCGAGGAGACGACGTGCGACGAGCTGCTGCACCTGCTCCTCGGCTGCTACAGTTCGCCCGAGCCGGTGGAGAACTTCTCGCTGTACGAGGTGTGTCCCGGCCAGGAATGCCAGCGAAAGCTGCACCCGGACGACCTGCCACTGCGCACCCAGATGGAGCGCATGAAGCGGGGTGAGGGCTGCCACTTCCTGGTGCGCCGCACGCCCAACTATGCCCGCCGGCGGCAGCTGTTGGCCAACCTGAACGAGGCGATTGGACAGGCCGCGGAGGCGGCGGAGGATGCCACCAGTCTGCTGGAGCTGTCCTTGGAGTCGGATATCTCGCTCTCCGAGGATCTGCGAAGCTGCAGCAGCAGCGAGGATGCGGGCGACGAGGACGAGTGTGCCAGCAGCTCCGGCTCCTCGGACAATTCGACGGAGTGCGCCCTACGCCGGGACTTCTACCTCCACACCACGCCCGCAGCTCCAGCTCCAGTTGTGCCCCAGGCGGCGGTGTCCGTGTCACCTGCTCGTGTCTACAGTCCCGTGTACAACATACGCGAGATTCGCACCGCCTCGCACTCGTTCTCCTCGCTGGGAAAGGACAAGAAGCTGCTGGACATCCACATGAACGCCCGCTTTGCGTCCGGAGGAGTCTACGGCCGACTGCTGCCCGTGGCGGAGACGGATGCGCAGGACGTGAACGGCAATACCAGCTCCAAGCTCACGGCGGAGGCCGTCAACAACAATCCGGCCAAGGGCCTGGGTCACTTTGTCTACCTGTAGTGAGTTGCTCAGTAGGAGTGCAGCCTGTACAAAGGACGAGCAAGCCGATGAGCCCCAAAAATGAGAGAAGAAATCGAGTACCGTTTGGACCAAAGATGCATTTGTAGCTTAAGCCGCTAGTGTGGGAAATGTAAATAGAAATATGCCTACAGTAAAGTATCCTAAGATTAGTTACGACTACTTTAGTTTTTCCCTCGCTACGAAAGATACTTTTTCCTTAGTGTAATGCAAAGAAACCATCTGCTAACAATCCCAAATCAAAGGAGTCTATAGCTTAAGGCTTTAGTCCCGCAACTAAAGCTTCGATAAGAGTATGAATCTGGATAGCTTGTGGCTAGCATTCGTGTAGAAACCAAAAGATATTGTAATAATAAGAACTAATTATGTACAACCTGACCGCATCTCGTTGAATTCAATGGGGCTCTTGTCGTGTGTGAATTTCCTTTTTACCTGGATTATGTCTCCGGTGCTTTTTAATTGTACTTAAATCAAGTTAAACACGTGAACGCCACGGCAAACGTCCATATAAATAGGCCGCAATTAACGCAGCCAGCCACGCAATTTGTTTTTCGGCGAATGGACGCGTCCGGTCCGGGTTCGGGTCCTGGTGCTGGTGCGGATTTTCGTCCTCGGTCTCCGTTCCGCTGGCGGCTTACGGCGAATGATTTATGCGGCGTATGCGTAATTTTCAGAGCCATAAGCTTTTCTCTTTTAAATGAGCTTACTTTACATAATGATCGAGGGATTTTTCTTTTATAAAGGAATGACTTTTCGAGGGCCGTCGGCCGGGGAACTGCCATTTATTGAACCGAGTCGCCTGGGCCTTTTTACTAATTTATTAACAATGGGTCGCACTCGGGTCAGATTAAAAATCAACAAAATTTCCCAATCAAATCCAGTTTGCTGCATCCTAAAATAATAGCTTTCTCCCCGCCAAGCAGAAAAATCCTTTTAGAGCCCCAGAAAAGGGGTTTGCTACGCAAATGCAAAAGCCGTGCGGACAGTTTTGTTTTGGCCTGCTCATTTGGCAGAACTTTAAATCTGAGACTTGTATCTAAATTGAATTGCGAAACTCATGAAAAATGCAAAGCGAGTCCAGTCGGAAACGGCTGTGCAAACGGAAGCGGAAATGCTAAACAGGCTGCTCTGCTCCGCTGGCCGGCATAATAGCTTAAGCACTTTATAAGGCGAATTTCAAATTTTCGGTCTGAAATCTCGCCAGGATGCAGTGGCTGCACTTCAATTTCAGCCAACTTCAGAGGCTGCTGCATTCGAGATAACTGTCTGTCATTCTGGGGCTTCGGGTATTTACATTTTCAGCTGGCTTGCTACAACTGGAGTGGGACAACTATGCATGCACATGTACAGAGTTGGTATGGCAACCTTTGATTTCCGGTAGTTTTGCTGAGAGCCTGTCCAGCCTGCCGCCTGGGCAATGCGGGGAGTGACCTGCCCCCGACTGCCATGCTGTCCGAAAAAAAGAAGAAAAAGAGAAAAAATTGGAAAAGAATTGGGAAAGAAAAAATGCCTCACCAGGGAATCAGAAGCGAGCAGCAGGCAGATCCATCAGGTGTGGCAAGTTCATTTCGAATTCGGTCGGGCCTGCAGGCCGAGTTGCAATCACTCTTGGTCAAGAATGAAAAGTTCGTGCAACTTGTATTTGTCTTTCGCATTACACTCAATGTATTTCATTCAAATTAATTTCGAAATTTCGAGAGCACACACACAACGAGCAGTTGTGCCCTCCACTTGTTGGAGAAACTTGCCACTTGGCACCTAACTTCTTGGTGGAACTGGGCTCGTGGCTGAGTGCAAAAGTTTTCCAAGCGGCTGGGATATGCGCAAAGTTTGTGTTTGTGTAAGATTGAAAGCCGGCTAAAAGCGAGCCGAATAAAAATAGCTTAGTTCTGTTCCGGCCAGGAACGCTTGTCTAATCATCCCACGCAACGGAAACTCGCACAAAGCCGAATCAAAGTTGCATCCTGTAACTCGTTCGACTAATTGCCATAAGCCGTTAGGTAAATTTGTCCACGCTATTCGCCGTCCCCCGGCCAAACTGTTATTTTTGCACAACTAATCGGATTAGTGGACATCCCATTCCAGTCCAGCCCAGTCCATGGAACCCGCCCACATGTCCTCCTCGAATCCTACTCCTTGGCGTCCACGGCGCCCGGGGCTTTGTTGCACTTGACTCCGGCGACGGGCACAACTTTTCACTCCGCCGATTCGTAATCCATTCTACGCTTCAGCTTGTGTCAACGGCTCAAACACAGCAAATTAATTTCCACTGCTCTGCTGGAAAATTATGAAAGCCCGCCCCCCTCCCGCCCGCGCCATGCTGGCCTATTCAAATGGCAAGTTTAGTGTCAATGAGTTAAGCTGTCCGGCTTTTTAATTAAAAAGCCATTGCATAAATTACTCTACATCAGCTCCAGGAATTTGGATACCGATCAATTACGCTCCGGGCTCGGAAAACAGTTTGCCATGGTTTATCAGCTGGTTAGAGCAGATTTTCCATCTGCCTAGCTGGAATTATGAGCACTTTCACTTTCAGGAATGTTCAAATAACAATTTTAGGCACCATACTCTTTCAGTACATTTATAACGTATAATTAGTTTGTACTTTAACCTATGCAAATTACCATTTTCCTTACCTGTACAACACAACATTCCGGCATTTTCACGCGGCGGCGTATCGAACGCTATTTACAAAGGACAAAGTTTATGAATAAAAAACGCAGCCAATCAAAGGCGGAGTGCGCACTCCTTTGAGGTCCTTTTCAGAAATAGCTTGACACAGTTTTTGGCACACTCTTTGCATTACAAAGCATTGTGGAAAAGTGGAAATGTGAAAGGAGGAAAGGAGGAAAGACAAACAACGAGTTTCGAGAGATTTTTACAAAGATTTTTGGTTTTTAATTTGCGCCAACCATCCAGTCGGACCATCCAGTTAATTGAGTTTCCTCTCGAGAATTTACTGCAGCGTTTTCCCATTTGACTTGCGAGTCTGACAACCGCCACCAAGTGGGGATACAAATTGCTGTGCTAAGCAAAAAATTCGACCGCCTACGCTGAGTGCGATATTTTTTCCCTTTTTTTGGCAGCCGCAACGGAGCGTGTTCTCCGGCTGACCATAAAACGCCTGTCATCAGATATCGCAAGCCAGGTCCATAAAGATATGGTATATAAATTGCGGACGCACTCGCTGGCGACCAAACTGCATGACGCTATTTCGGAATGGGTGCATCGCCTGCTCGCATTTGAAATGCAATTGATTTGGGCCATTTGCATGGCCAGAGACTGTAATAATATATATATATGTATATTTGCAAGCAGTAATGAACGGCTGCTTATTTTATTTATTTATGCCGACTCGCACTAAACCATCTGCTTACACACTAAGAACTTGAGAGCAATGCTCCAGGAGCTGCATAAAAGTTAATTGGTTTCCTTAAGAAGTGGCTTACTCTATCAATACAACTTGACACCAGTTCCGCTTTGGCCGCCGACTCGATCCGAGCGATAGGCTCATCATAGGCGCATCAAGATCACAATGGAATACTAGCTAGCGGACCGCAGGTGGGTCCATCCTTCGATGGGCTGCGTCCTAGGAGCGGCGCCCGAAGAGCTTGAGCGGTCTCCTCCAGCCGCGTGGCCATCATAGCTGCTCGTTCCCGATGTGGGTGGTGTCCGTGGGCAGCGAGTGGGTCTGCGGGAGCGGGAGACGGCGGACTGTTTACGCATCTAATGGTGGGTGCAAGGTACTCACCTGCAGCGCCTTGCGCTTGTGGTGCATCGATGAGTTGGAGGAGGACTTGCCCTTGCCCTTCTTCCAGGAGCAGAGCAGCAGCTCCTTCATGCCCTTCCGAAAATTGCGGCTGAGGAAGGCGTAGAGCAGGGGATTTACGCCCGAATTGAAGTACGTGACCAGAAAGGTGAGCGGTGTTAGCAGCGCATTAAAATTGGAATCACCGCGATACGAACGTGACCTGCAAATGCATATACATGGAAATAACTATCTGCTGTGTGCTCTGCGTGTATGCAAATCAGCATCTGTTGGATAAACACTCCCCATTCAACTGACTTCGGCAGATTACAATTTTAGAGAACTTGGCCGGTGAAAAGTTTTCCGCAATTCCAATTCATTCTCCGGCCTCAAACGACAAGTTTGTGTTGGCCCTAATAAATTCATGAGCCAAACTACGCTAGTGAAACCATTAATTATGCGAGAAATGAAATGTCACACTGTGGACTATGTATTTAATTAGAGAGACACTTAATTCAAATCTGCGCAAGCACTGCAGCTCCTTTAACTTGGAAGCCATCCCTCGACTTGTACACTACCATCTTATTTATAGCCAAGTCATACATTTATGTACTGCTATACACCCATGAATTTATGCTACTTGTTGGATTCATTTTGATCCACTTTTGCACTTAAATATGAGCTCTTAGGTCATTTTGATGTACTAGTATTATATTTTCAGTGGCACTTGCATAATTTGTTGCTGTGTAGCAAAGCTGCCAGGAAGGTGCTGACTTTTGTCCACTTGAATGTCCAGGTGATTAAGCTGCTGCTGGCAGCATTGTTTTTTGCCGTCTGGGAGCAAAAAGGGCCAAAAACTTGCCTAATGGATTGGGGAATTCGGGCAGGAGCCAAGTTTCTCGCCGCCTGCAAGTATGCAACATAAACTTTGCCGAAACTTTCCATGCAGAACAATATTTAAGGAAGAGAAGTACACCCACCTACTTCATCTTTTATTTTTTTGGACTTGGCGAACTTTGGACATTGGAGCAACTGTCAAATTGTCCTGCAGTTGCTGGTCGCTAAAAACTCGCCATGCACTTGCAAGTGGCCCAGTGCACGGGAAGAGTTGGCCAACTGATTGGGCCACTTGAATGGCCTTCGCTTTGCTTTAGCCGCTGCTTGTGAACTAAAGTGGCTCTTAGCAACCGTTGGCAAAGGCCCGAGCCAAATTTAAATGTCACTCCGAAACGGGGGCCACGCAATGAAGAGCCAAACTCTGGGTGGCCATTCGCAGACGCAATGTGCTGCACATGCCGTCTAATGAGTCGCAGTTGCCAGCTGCCGGCAGTTGGCATCGTTATCCTTATCAGCGGGCCAGTGGAACAAAGGGGCTGGTGAGCTAATAATGCAAACGTGGCGCCCCATGACCCCAACCTTGTTGACCCAACGCATTGCAGTTGCCGCCAAATGTAAGCGCGTGGCAATTACCCGGACGTGCCAGCTTTGTGCGGCAATAACAGCTGTGTGATAATGTGGTCATTGGATCAGCTAGCTTTGGCATCTGATTTGCGCTGTCGTCGTGACACGAAAATGGTTTTCGCTTCCCAAAAGTAAGGATATGCCAAAACAAGAGTTGCATGCTCATTTTGATTTCATTTTCTGCAACTTTTGACTGGTATTTTTCCGAGGTGTGCAAACAGCTAACAATTTCAATATCCCAGGGCATCCGATTCCTCAAATAAATGAGAGCCGAAAGTTCAGCCAAGTAAACAAGTCTCGCTGGCCATAAATCTCAATTATGGCACTGTGGGCTAGAATCCATTCCAATTGTATCTGGCCAGCCATTATTTATATTTATTTGCCCGCCATTCGTTTTACATTTGTGCAAGTTGAGTGCGCGAACAAAATTCAAAAACATTTTCGTTGCGTCTGCCAAAAGTGCAACGTTGCAAATCGGCAGCTAAGTGTTTTCTTTTCAAAATTACACTTCAGATGTGCACCAATAAGACCCAGTGATCGATATGAACTAATGTAATTGCCTTTCAAGGCGTAATTCACTAACAACATGAACCTATAAACATTAAATTCGCATGTTAACTGCTTTCCAATTAGAAATTACCTAAAGGCTGCATGCTAATTCACTACCATTTCAAATTTTCACTTGATTTGTACAAAATCAATGCTCTTACGTGCCCAAAATTGCCAATGACAATTGCTTCACACTTGACGGCTTTTCCCAGCTTTAGCTTTGTGTTTCGACTTTGGCTAAAAGCACGCAGAAATGTCCTTTAAATTTATTTCCAATTTACAGCAGTCAGCAGCTTAAGTGCACGTTTTAAACTCTGCCCAGGGAGCAATTAACTCCCACTCGATTTAGCGCGTCGCTCCACTGCAAACAACACTCCCACCGCCCACTCACTTATCAAGTTTTCCGCCCGCCACCCCCAGCCGGAAAAACCCAAGTGCCCAAATCCAGAGCGAGCTCGGCGGCCCACCCATTCGAAAGTGCTCCACCGGAAGCGGAACTGATAGCCAAAGGGCTGCGTAAGCCGGACTTTTGCGAGGGTCCAAGAAAGCGAACCTGAAATTGGATTGGCAAACGGAAGATCGCTTTCAAATCATTTGGGCCAAAGGCAAAGCTCATTGGTGACTCAATTGTTTACCAGCCTCGATGCCAAGAGGAAGCCATCTAGGGCTTATCTGACCATTCGCAGATGTTAATTTCCCGTCCAACGGACGACTATGCAAATTCCCGCCCATTCCCGGTGCAATATACCATAAAATATTGTTTACATTCAGTGCGATGGGCTGATGAATGGCTTGCGGTAAGGGCAGGGGATTGGGATTGGGACTGGGATGGGAATATGATGGTGGCTACTCACCAGTACTGCCACATTTTGCGGGCATGATACGGCAGATTGCAGAGGGCGAATGTCAGCACGAAAATAATCAGCATACGGACGACGCCGCGCCGGGCGCGCAGGACATTGCTGGAGGAGTGGGACATGTGGGTGGCTCCAGCGACGCCCCCGCCACCGGCAACCAGTCCGCCCGCGGAGGCGTTGCCCGAGCGCTGGTGGTGGGCGTGGCCGTGGTGGTAGAAACTCGTCTTGCGGCAGGCGCTGACAATGGGACGATCGGCCTCCAGGGACACCTGTGCGGATTAACAGGTGTAATTGCATTAGGTATGTGGCCGCAGCAGTTGTCGGGCGTTATCATATCGATTTTGATATTCGACTACCACCTACCTTGCAATTATCGAGCTAATTTGTGGTGTGGTTGTGTGTGGTTGTTATAATTGGGGGGATGGGTGGTTAGTAGAGGGTACCAAAGAGTTTTATTGATCAAACGAAAGGTAGAAAGAGAAAAGAGTTCAACACAAAGATAGTTAAGTTGTTACCTGTGGATATCGGGGTCAAAAGTTAAGGAATAGCGAAAACCAAAGTTATGTAAAAGTTTTATCGACGTGTACCCGCTACAGTTTTCCTTGCCAGACTTTCCGCCTCTGTGCCACATCGCCCTACCGTTTGTCGACTCTTAAGGGAAAACGTATCAGAATCGAACCAGTGCTCTTGACATTTGATACTTCGATGGAAATTAAAAATTCAAAGGCTTTGCCCTTAGTGGTTTCCAATTTTCAAGCTGTGGCAGCTGCACAACTTTTCCAACCGTCATCGTGCCACAAATTATCTTTTTTATCCGCCGGCTTTTATTGACAAAGTGAGCTGCTGATCAAGAACAATGATGTGTGTGCCACTTTTGTGGCAAAGCTGGTGTCAAGCTCGAAAATAAGAAATACGCCACGGTGAACCCAGCCAATTGAACTGGCTGTCCGGCCAGCAATAATGGAAAAAACACTTTTGCCATAACTTTTCCGTCTCACTTGCAGTTTCGCCAGCACTCCACACCAGGTGCCACATCGGTGGCAGAGTTTGTGGCAAGGTCTGCGATGGCCTTAATGTGAATTGACACCTGCTCCGGGGACCGTGTCACTTGCGTGGAAAGTTTTTACGACTGCGAACTACGCAAGGACCGCAATGATGTATCTAATAAATTAGTGGCCGAATGGCGTTGTGATTTTCAAGGAACATTATTTACAGCACAGCACGTGCGAACTGCATCGAAGTTAAAGCCGTTCTGGCCAATTAGGGAACACAGGTTCGACTCCAATCCCGGTTTATGGCCACGGCTAGGCTTTTAATGCTGACATACTCCGTTCACAACCTGCCATTTTTTTCGCACGCTGGGTTTTCCTGATAGCTCACCTGGCTCTCCGTGATGCTGACGCCGCGCTTCTCATATTTACTGCTCTGCTTGCGGGACAAGGACGTGGTGCTGCTGCCGCCGGAGGCGAGTGACGGACCAGGACCACCTCCACCTCCACCACCTCCGCCCAACCCCACTCCCGCCAGGGGTACAGATCCTGCCGAGGATGCCGCCGATGCCAGCTGGTGGTGCTGGTGGTGGTGGTGGTGGTGGTGCTGGTGCGGGTGCTGATGGTGGTGGTACATGCTGTTGTGCATACCCATGCCCATGTCCTGGCAGGATGGCTGCTGCGGCTGCTGCTGCTGCTGCTGCTGATGCTGCTGATGCTGCATCACATGTGGCGTGAGGCCGCGCGAGCTGCGCCACAAGGCGATGGCGATTTTGCTGTACAGCACCTGCAATGCAAATGGGTTGGTTAATTTCATTATTCAAATTTCAGCGCAGGACAAGCGGCGATTGCAAGCGAAAAGCTTGCCAATGCTTGTCAAACTTCTACTGCTCGCAAGGTAAATGAAAGTCCCCACTTGCTTTAATTCCTTTATTAAAAGTACTATATTAATCCCACATTTTTTCATTGCGTGCATATTGAAACAAACTTAATTGTTATGTACCCAAAACTATTTCCCAAGAAGAGTGTTTCAATTCCCCGAAATATGAACTGCAGTTGTTTTTGATATAATTAATCACTTTCATTTCTTCTTAAGCGAAGTGCTTACTGATTATTGTTATTGATTAATGTCTGTTTTATGCTGTGTTACGTGACTAGGAAACACTTTTGGATTGCCAATGAATTTATCAAGTTAAAATAAATATTTACGATCAATTGGATACCTACCGTCATCACCAGGAGCGGCATAACGTAGAGGAGCACGAAGTTAATCATGTCCAGCAACTTTGAGTTGAACATCTCGCGGTCCAGGACGCAGATCTCCTCCTCCTGGCCGTCCTGCGTGTGAATGTTCTTAATGGTCTTGCTGAAAACAAACTTGGGCGTGGAGTAAACTGCCGATGTAATCCAAACAGTGACAATGACCATCTGCAAAAAACACGCATTGACGTTTTGTTTTGTCTACTCGGCTGCCAAACACGCAAACAATTTGTTAAATGGCAAATAAACACACTGAATTTGCATGTTAATGGATGGCCCATTTCGTTGTCTTTATGTCTCTTGTAGTTTAATTAGCACAATCGTCATTACTGCAACGTATTTTTTGTCTGGCTGCGTGAAACAACCAGGCTATGTGGTTCACCCCGTTGGGCGCCCCCCTTTCCCAGTCCGGAAAAAGTTTTCCCAGCCACAAAGTTATGCCCACGGCTTATTAAGCCTTTCGTGGCCGTTCTGCCGGTTAATTTGCATGACTCTGCGGGCTCGGCCTAATAAGTTTCATTAGCTTGCAAATTGTATTCAAATGAAGTTATCAAAAGTTATTCAAAAATGTCTCAAATGCGATACATAAACGGGTTCGTCCCCTTTTGACCTTTCAAATTGGCAAGTGAATAAAATGAATAAAGCGAAATGAATATCCCTCGTTTATGAACACTTTGGTATGACTGGCCGTGAATATGAGATATGAGGTATAGTGTATAGAGGTCAGTACTTACCCTCAGACGAGCAGCAGTTAGGATCTGTTTGCAGGTAATGGGATGCACGATGGCGAAGTAGCGCTCCATGCAGATGACAACCAGGATGAAAATGGAGGCCGTGTAGCTCAGGGAGTGGACAAACTGGTACATGCGGCAGAGGAACTCGCCAAAGACCCAGCTGAAAGGACACAGACACACGCTGCAGTGTTAATAATTATTTATGGAAAAAGTTTCGGTCTTTAAGAGTTCAAGAGCAGCATACTTGGAGCCAAATTTAGCAGCAGCCACATTAAATGTTATGACACGGCCGCTAAACTAATGCGACATTTAGGTGTCTTTAGTATTTTATGGGGCGCAAAGCTTTCTCCTTTTTATTACTATTTCGGCTGAAATTACATTCGAAAACCGTATTTGTGCCTCGTTATTAGCAATGCCACGTAATTTCGCGTCTGCGCGGCGCTCAAGCTTTTAAATGTGGCCAATAATACCGCAATATACATAATAATCCTGTGGGTTGTCGCCAAGATTTTGGGTAATGCGTTTCCTAAAACGATTCTGCATCTGCTGGGCGATCCAATCTCTCCCCTTAAAACGCACCAAGCCATCCATCAGCAGTTTCGCCAAAGTCTTGCAGAGGTTCAAGTTTATAATCATAAAATTAAATTGTCACCGCCAGCCATAAGTATCACATTAAATTATAGATGCATAAATTATGATTTTTCGTAATCTCATCTCACTTTACATATGATATCTGGCGTGCGTCAAGTTGTGCGCATGATTTAGATAAAATTATGCCACAAACACAGATTGGTCATCTCAATAATTTGGTTCTCTGGCGCAAAAAGCATATTAAAACTCAAAATGGGAAATATGCAAAACCATTTCAGGCATGCAAATAAATCATTATAATCATTATAATTAAGTGCATAAATGGGCATTCCAAGAATTCCAATTAGATAAGTAATTACTGATTTGTTTAATGTATAGAACATTACATTAACATAATCATAAAACTAATTTAAATTAATAAGGCAACATTAAAGTTTTAAATGAAATAGCTCTTATAGAAACTGAAGCCAAACTCATGTGTCAAAATACTTTATAATTGCCGTGCATATTCTATCTTCAGAGTTGCAGCTGGAAAAGGCATCTTCGTTTGAATTTTTAAACAGCACTCCGCGCTTTATATGTTTGTGTATCCTTTTTCCCGAACACGCCACTGCTACGTGTTTTGAGAAAGTTAAGGAAACACAATGCAAATAAACACGATTGGAGTGAAAGCGGGCGTGGGGATAAAAGCCGAAGTGAAAGTGACGCCTGTGGAGTTTTAGTTTCCTTTATGTGACAGGCGGCGTAAATGTTTCACGGTTGGGAGTTGAAACTTTTGTGGGGCATTGTTTTCGATGCAAAAGTCTGAGGTCATTTCCGCCAAATACTGCTTCTGATAAATAAATAAATAAATAGGAATTTTACCGACTGTTTAATATTCTAGTAGCTCCACTAACTAAAGAACTACTATTTTTTTCTCAATTTGTAACCTATTTTAACCTATTTTAATGAATTCAACGCATTTTTTCGCATGCAGCTAATCTAGAATTTAAATATACACTGTATATATACTCTAAATTGTTCATTTTTTAACAGCTAAATTGTTTATGCATGAGAACGGTCATTAAGAACTATTTGCAACTTAAGAGTAAAGTGGGTTCACGTATTCTTCTTATGCTCCCCGAGAACTGTGCAGCTCCACTCGTGCATAATGAAACGTTAATTTAATACTGCAATAATGTTGTTTTTCCCAACTTTCACTCACCTCTCTATCAGGTAGATGGACAGATTCTGCATCACACAGAAGAGTCCAACGCAGAAGTCGGCGAACGCCAAGTTGGCCAGGAAAAAGTTTGTTATTGAGCGGAGTCGTCGCGATAATGTGACCACCAAAATAACAAGGAGGTTACCTGGAAAATGCACAAAATAACATTGCGGAATTAGTAGAAATGGATTTCCGTGCAACCGCTTGTTTGCACTGTGGTCAAAAGGGCACTTTAAGGATTTAATAACATCATTAACTAACTAACTAATAAATTAGTACGCATTTTCTCACTTAATGGGGGTATTTTCAAATTTCGGTTAATTAAATATGCTCTTTGATATAAATGTGGCTAACTACATGCGGCTAATAATCCATGTACCTAGATTTATTACGTATACTTAATAATTCCATGTACCTATATTTTTTACGTATACTTAATATTTCAATGTACTTATATTTATTACGTATACGTAATAATTCCGCAGTCGTGATTAACTATACAAAATCAATATCAGACCAAATTCTATCAATAGCAATATCAAAATCAATAGTAGATTTAGTGCATTGGAATTTGTTAGTTTTAAGTTATCAACTAGCAAAGAATGGTTATAAAAGTTAAAATATATACTATAATAAAATAAAAACAGTACTGTAAGCACCAAGTACTAACAAACACTGGTTATAAAAGCTAAAATAATACAATAAAGTGTTATTATAGTATAATTAATTATAGAATATAAAATATAAAAAGTTCTGTAAGAGTTGGTTGCCTCAGCCAACGCAAATTCGTTCAGTGCAATTAAGTTTTCGCTTAGCTTAATGTAGCAGCTGTCTTGTTTAATTGCCCAATTTGGGGGAAAAAAACATTGACTTTTCAAAGTTACAATTAAAAGTTAAATATTATCACAAAAATCTTATAGTTACGGCTGCGTCTGCCATTCGTATTGCACTTAAAATTTATTTCACCATCGCATGGTCCACCATATAACGCAATTGTTTTTTGGAGCCTCACATGGCAAGCAAATGTCGGGAAAAACTTTTTTAATTACACCGGGCAGGGTGACAGGAAATGGGAGTACGAAAAAAGGAAAATGGAAAACAAGACAGAGCTGCCAAAAAATTACAAAAACGTGCAACACTACAAGCCGTGCTCAGAAACTCGATACGGAGCAAAAGAAGCTGTATGAGAATATTTCAGAGTTTCAGCGGTGGATTCCCGCTACATTGTCATATATACGCATACATTTATAATTATTTATTCGATTCTGTAGTTTCATTAAAGTAGTGACACCAGCAGCGAATTTTAACTAATTCTAATCCCTAACTAGTTTTAACCATTCCGAAGAAGTCACTGGCTGACCATTGATAGTCGGTTCCTGAAGTGCAGCTCAACTATCAAATACCAGTTGCATTCGCCTGTAACAACTATTATGATATCGTTCGCCCATTCCCAAGGTAACTGCCATCCATGCATTCCCATTTGAATGTGACAATAAGGCATCTTGTTCAAGTGACGGCAACAAAGAAGTAGCCAAACAGAAGCTTTAAACGTGACTGCCCCATGTAAATTTAGTGGGCGCCCACTTGGGCCCGCCCCCATCGTTTACGCCCACATTCCGGGCGCCAGTGAAACCAACCGAGTTCTTGCACTTTGCAATTGTCCGCACAATGGCCGGCCACGCCCACGCCTGTGTCCAGGGGGCGGCGTTTAGTCGCCATTCGGAATGGCGCGTACACATGTTCCACTGCTTTATTGTGCATGCTGGTGTCACTGCGGGTAATAAAGCCTACAACTGACGATGGCCGAGATTGGCCAACACCCGCAAAGGCCCAATCGAACGACCTGCGTAATTGATTCTGGCCATCCGGACCAGGAGCGAGCCCGAGCCCGAGCCCAGATAAGACGGAAAGTGAAGGGACTGCCCGCATTTGTGGGTGCCTCTGCAATTAGGAATTGCTGCAACAAATGCCAAATGGCCTAATGGCGCTTCAATAAAATGTTTTCATCATAATGCGCCACATGGGGCGTATGCGTGTTGTACGAGTGTGCAAAAAAAAACTTCTTTGGTTGAGGCGGAAGTCACGCCTAATTTAGGCCACGTGGAATTGAAAATGTATCAATATTCTGAATATTCCTATACAAGCTGTATTTAAGCAATTAAACTAGTCACAGAAATTCCTCACAGTTGATAATTATGCTCTCTTTGCTTACAATGTAACTATGAAATTGAAAATGAGTTTGGAAATGTATCGATATTCCTAATAATTTCTATACAAGCTGCTATTCAATAAGTTAAACTAGCCACATAAATATCACATTACCATTCCGCACAGTTGATAATTATGCTTAATAAGTATGCTTACAATGTAACCATGAAATTGAAGATGTGTTTGAAAGTGTATCGCTATTCCTAAATATTCCTGTATTTAATCAATTAAACTAGTCACAGAAATTCCTCACAGTTAATAATTATACTCTCTATGCTTACAATGTAACTATGAAATTGAAGATGGGTTTGAAAATGTATCGCTATTCGCAAATATTCCCATATCAGCTATAATCAAATCAATTAAACTAGTCACAGAATTATCACATTACCATTCCGCACAGTTGAAAATTGTGCTCCCTATGCTTACAATGTAACTGTTGGCACTTTCCCCATTTTCCTGCTGACTCTAGAGGAACGCAAAGCCCTCAAAGTACTTAAATACCAGGCAGACTGGACAAAACACAGCAAAAGCCGAACAGCAGGGCATTGAGTAATTGGCAAGTCAGCAGAAGTTTGCACATCCTGGTCGACCCAGAAAGATGTCCCTGGGGCACCGCAAACGGCCGGCAGGCCATCTTTTCTTTGCACTCGTGTGTGTTTTGGTCGGCCTTTGTGCCCCATCATGCTGCATGCTGCTTGCTGCACAATCAAACATAACTTCGAGCTCTGCTCTGATTAATGCGTATGGGAACTATAAATCTTGTGTGTATATATACACAGGAAAAACGCTGTAAGAGTCCTGTGCAGAGTCCTGCACGCAGAGAAACGCAGTATCACTATCTCGTAATTAGATTAAAGTTATGACTGACAGCTAAAATGTGGGCTTTGGACTGTGAATCAATAATTTCAATTGAGTTATTAGCTGGAGCAGGTCCCTATTTACTCACCAAAGAAACAGCAGCAAAATACCAGTGTGTAGAGGGTGATGAATATTATGCGCACATCGGTGCGATCAAAGATGTACTCGCTGGCCTTCTCCGCGTCCTCCTCGTCCTCGATGACCGCACCACTTCCGTCCCCCGAGCGTCCGGTGGTCGGGGCGGGAACGATGGATGTGGTGGAGTCGCCGTAAAGCAGGATGTAATCGGTGCTGCTGCCGTTGATGGGCGGACTGATGGTGCTGGTGACATTGGCAGAGGCTGTCAGCGCGGAGGCGGAGAGCAGGATGAGCAGGGCGAGCAGGGGGAGCAGCGTTGTCCGGCCGGAGAAGTGGGTTACGGCGGAGGATGCACGGGGCTGCTGTCGTCCGGTGGGTGGCTGGTGCGGCTGCGGCTGCGGCTGCCGCTGTCGGAAGGCGGAAGTGCTCTGATTCGGCGAGCTGTTTGGGCTGCCGTTGTTTTGATTATGCACCACCCTGTGGTGGCCGTCGTCATTATCACTGCGGGGGTCGTAAGCCGCTGATATGTGTGCCCCGTCGGGTCGCCAGCGCTGCTTATGTTGTTTTCGCTGCTTCACTTCCGATTCCTGTTGGCAGGACCTTGCTGTCCGCATCATCGTCATAATCATTGTGTGCGTGTGGCGACGACTCCTGTGGTCGCCAATCAGGGACGCAGCTGCAAGGACACAAGACAAAGGAGTGCAACGGAATTTAGTTAGTTCTTGTCTGTAGTTTCTTAAGTTCGTTAGTTCTTGGTCTTGGTTCCCATCTACAAGTCGCCTGTGATTACATTTGTGTAGTGTTCCTTGGTCAAATCTTATTTGAAATTCCTACAGCTAACTCATTTTCAAGTATTAATGCTACGTAAGCCGCTTTTTAAGTCAATGCACACGCTTCCTTTTCGATGTCGTCGAAAGACACCAACGCACAGGTTTAGTTCATTAACGGCGGAGTCACGTCGCCTATGTCCTGCGGCAATTAAACGTAGCCGCCTACACTGCACGGATACTTATTGCCATGGCTGTTTGAGTGGACATTTTAATTAAGCCGCCTTTAATAGCGCACATAATTAAAACATTTGTCTGCCAATGCCACGACACAAGCACTTGGCCAAAAAAAGAACAAAATTATGGTTTCCATTTGCCACGCACGCAATCACTGCGCATTCCATCCAATATTTGTGTTTCTCTGCTGGCTGCTGCTACTTTGCGATTTTTAATATGCACAACGCTTTGTTGCTAATTACGCGAGTGCAGTTGGCAATATCATAACATTCACCCCCTCCCCCCAGTCACTCCTCCCTGCTCCTCCGCCTGCATCTTTGATTATTGCTCTCTGGGCTCGCGTACGTGCCCTAATTAATAGACACTCGTATGCAAACTCACTACGTCAAACATGCGCCAACATAAAGACTGTCAAGTAATTAACACCCTGGGTTCTGATGCGCCCATATTTATAGGCGCTTTAAGGGGTACCACGCATGCATCACTTTAAAGACCATTGGGGTAGTCAAAGGAATCGAAGTCTAGGAGGAAATATGCCACCTATCCTGATAAGCTTCCAGTTGATATTAACTTTTAACGAATATTGTACCCTGCTGAAATGGGTATAAAGTTGAAATGTTATTAAGCGAACGTGCAACTTTTATGTTCCGCTTCAAAGTGAGCTTTAAAGTACTATTTAATGCCTTCAGATACACTCAGCTGAGTGCCAGAAAAAAGTTCAGCATTTATCACTTGTGGGCTTGAAGTCCGTAATGATTCTTCTCGATTTCGACCCTTTTTCATATCAGTAACCGTTTTCATCAGTTACTTGCAATTATGTGAGTTCGCTGGAACTCAACATCTATTACGCTGCAGATACAGTTCATTGTCATCTCAAATGAGTGGAATTCCCTGGTAGAATTCCAACTTAGTATAAGCAAACACATCGAAGTCTTACAGCTAGAGACATTGAACCGGAATTGCACTCTAAATTCCTTGCTTTACTTGACAGAATTTACAACTCACTCCTCGCCGACTGCATTTTAAACGCCTCTTGGGAAAATAGTAGCAAATAGTTCGTTAAATAAGGAAGTGAGAAGTGAGCAGGGTTGTCGCGCGGTTGACGACTTCCGGCACGGAAATACGGAAATTGTTTGGCGCTCTAATGAGGCAAGTGGCTTTGAGTTCGACTGGGTGGAATTGCAGCCGCTAAGGAGCCCTAAGCTGAGACAAATGGAAACCGACTTTTGCGGGCTTCTGGTCCTAAATTGATTTCCTCGATACTGATTTAATTAAAAACCAGCAGCTAGTGCAATGGCTTTGACTTTTTGACTTTGTTCGATTGTCCCAGGGGACTCCTGCCCCCCTACAATAAATTGGAAAGTAACAGTGTTCTGTGATTTGATTTTTGACAAGCCATCTATTCAAAAAGTTAAGTGGCTAGATAAGAATGCAATGCTTCGTAAAGAGCATTAAATAGGATTCAAAATCCTGTCAGTGTGCGTTTAATTTTCGATAGATAAATATCAACGACATAAACAGAACCTAAAACACCAAAGAAAATTCGAATTTCGCTTCTGCGGACACAAAACAAATTGGAGAAAAGAAAAGTCATTACAACTTGCTCACATAGCGAGCAAATTGCAGAAAAATTGTACTTCCTCTTTTTGTGGGCAGAGGCAACTGCAGTCGAAATGGCAGAATGCGAATTCATGTTGCACTCAGTTATGTGCGGCTGTTGCAATTGGAATTCGGTCCCCATTTTCCTATCTACCAGCCACTTTCCCACCCAATCCGCATCCGAATGTTTGCGTAAATTGCGCTCAAGTCAGGACATTAGGTGGTAATTGAGTGTGCCGACAAGAACCAAGTGAAAAATGCCTTCCCACAGCGTCGGCACTTTCCCATGCAACAGAAATGCGAGTGAGCACTGCTGCAAGGAACTGGGGCGACTAGTTGAGTGGGAAAGTGGAGGAGGCTCTCAGGACTGCACTAAATTATGCTCCTAAAAAATATTAAATTTTTGGCAAGCCAAGCTGAGAAATTAGTTTTGCACGTTTCCAGCTTGTTATCATGCTCCATTAAAAATCTGTCCAGCTCCTCAAACCTACGTTGTAGAATCTCGCACCACATGCGTCGACACAATTTAACTGGTTTATTACCCGTATTTTCTTTGTTTGCGTGAATAACCAACCGCATTGCAACACGACGAGATATTTGTTATTTTCTGAGAGCCAAGTTCTATTGTGCCACGTTAGGCAAAGGAAATTGGTTGGTAGCTCCAAACTCTTTTCGGTTTATACGGACAAACAGATTAACGGACAGACGAACGGACAGAAGAACGGAGATCCAGGAATACAAGCAAGTTACATGCTTTCTAACGAGTTGGGTATTCCCTTTTACTTGAGAAGTACAAGGTATAATATGTCGTATGTTAAATATTTAATTTAATTATTTTAATGGCGGTGTCGGAATATTACTTTTATTTGTAATTATTTGCTTAGTTCTGGCACTTCAATTTATTCGCCGCCCGTATTAATTGACGCACATCTAAAGCAAAACTCACCTACAAACTCGGATATGCATTCCAATTTTAGATACGTTTCAGGGTCTGGGGCAAGGAGGCCCACAGTTTCCGGGGCCAACACCTTGCAACGCGACACCTGCCGCAAGGTGGCGCAGGAGAAATGCGTTTTCACGATTTGGTGTCACGCTCTGGTTGCTCTGATGGCCGTGAATGTGCGCACCGCAACCTTGGTCACCTCTTGTCCTTTGACTCGCCCAGCCATTGTGGCCAAAAATATGCAATGGCAACTGGGGACTATTGTTTGTCTAGCGGGCAGCGGGCAGCGGGGAATGGCAAGGGGCAAGGGGCAAGGGGGTGTGTCGGGCGCAGGAAACAGCACTTTTGGCGTGGACCACCACGTTATTGGAAGCCAATTTAGCAGACAAAATTGGCTCAAATGGCGGCATCGCGACGGGCGGCCAATTGGTGCAACAACAGTGCTGCACGAGCTGCTCAAGTTGCATATTTATGGGGCATGGGAAATTAATGTGGCTCCGATTGCGAAATGAAAAACGGCATGAAAACGTCTTAAACGGCAATTGCCAATTGGCAATTGGCAATGTTCTTCTCGCGACAATTTTCTTTAAATTTGCATTAAACACAAGCCTGAAGTCCTGCCATCCTGCCGACAGACTCCTTTGCATCGACACCGAATAATTTATGACAGTCGCCGCCAAGTATTGCGGATATGGGAAGGAGTACTCGGACGAAGTGGTCGAAGATTATGCAAAGTTTTGGGCGCCTGCTCGCGGCAGTTAGAGCAGCAACTTTTGCAACCGAAAAGCGCCCACTGGAAAATTCGATTCAGAATGGAGCAACTTTTGGCTTTGGGGAATTTCGGGGGCGGGGCGTACATATATGATGTGCTCGTGGGCGCGAGACAAGCGTGAGAAAATTGAAGGGGGGCCAAGGGCGGAACTGACAGCGATATGCGCGTAGAAGTAAGCCGTGGGATTTCGCGGCTGGAAAATGAACACCCTGCGAAGGGCCTTTAAAATTTATTAAAAAAAATGCAAAGTTTTCGTTGGCCAACCGAAACTGGCTGTTTGCCATTTGGGACCCGGATAAGCTTTTACAACGAGCCACTCTTGCTGCAATCTCCGACACAAATCAATTTCAAGCGTTTGCGGCCCCCAGAAAAGCCCTTCTGGACTCCGTTTCATTTTCGTCCATATACAAATGGTACAAATGGTAGTATTTGAAAACCGCAAAACCGAAACTGGCCTCAAAACTGCTATTGCCTATTATATACGCAATCAAAAGCGAGAGCTACATGCGATCCGATTATGTAGAAGGCTTAAATGAAGGCTCATGGCTGCAACTTGACCTAAAACCAGAGCTGTGCAACGTTGCTTTACTGACCTAATTTACAAATTGGTTACATTTATTTTGTTGTTCTTCAAGATGCATTAAAGTCCAACGCAGAGAAAAGATTTGACACCTTCCTTTGGTTCAAAAACGTAATAAAAAAACCTGAGACCATCGTGAGCTGAAATCGCTTGTTGATCTTGGTGAGAAAACTTCAGATACGTGCAGATTGAGTGCCATTCGCCACACAGAAGTTCAGAACCCAACGACTGTAATAGCATTTTCGAATACTTAAGCTGGGGCAACGAGTACCCGAAAATAATGTTGAATGCAATTCCACTTCGCAGAATTGAAAAATAATAGGCACTTCCCATTTATGGCCAAACATTGCCGCAACTCTGCCTGACTCGCCTTTAAACGAGTCCTAATGTGACAGGCAACACAAAGAGGAGGCAGCAGCGAATTCCCAGAGGCAGCGACACTTGTGAGCTGCCATTTCGAAGGAGCAGGATGTACAGGCTCAAGGCTCAAGGCTCAAGTGTATTGTGATGTTGCCTAGAAGGTGCTGCACGTGGAAAGTGAGTGCTCGGGGAGGCCTAGAGCTCATTAATTAGGCAAGACCACAACTAAAGATAGGAATTGAGACAATGGCACGCCGGGCCTTGAAAATATGTTGAGCACATTCATCATACTCAAGTGTCGGTCGGGATGGTCGGCTGCAGGCAGCCCCATAAATATTACATTATGATTATGAAGGCCAGACGGCAAACTTTTCGCTGGAAAATTAATCAAGCACTTGCGTGGCACACGACCAATACT